CATCAGTAAGAGATAATTTTGCTTTTGGACTTGTTTCTTTGACTTTGGGGGCTCCTTCTGTTGTGGAGAATGTAACAAAAATTACATCTGGAACATTTCCAATTTTTCTGCTCGCACTAAAAAAATAACTGTAGCAAGAACCAAAAAAAATCTATAAAAATCATCTGAAAATTGTTATCTCTTGAAGCATATTTTTTATTAGTGTGTTATTACTAGGTGTCTCTAAAATTTTTTAAATAGTAATTTCTGTTGGAAACTTACAGTTACCTTCCGTATGTCCAGTGCCTTATATTTAGTAATATGAATGCTAACACTGGAACCATAGGTGACATAGACATTTCTTTGTTTTCACATTGCTACTTCTTCTTAAACAATAATCCCATTTTAGTCCTTGAACATGAAGGATGCTTAAAATCTCCTTTTTGTTTGTAAATTTTTTTTAAAAAATTCCATATGTTGTTTAATAGCAGCCATCTTTTTACACAGGAAGTACTTGATAAGGTATCCTTGAGAGCCTATTGTCTTCAGATCGTTGTATTATATTCCCTTCTCTGCAAGTTCAGTTTCTCCTTCTTGCCTGTGCTTCCTCCCTTTTTATTTTTTTTTTTTTTTATCATTTGGCTATACAGAGCTGCCTCATGTCATTCTTTGCATACATCATCTCTGTTTTTTCTCTTTTCCTGCATAATGGACCAGCTTTTCTGAGAGTAGCTGTTGTCCCGAGTGTGATCCTTTACTAAAATGGAGATTGAATGAAGGTGGAGCACAAATTATCTGGGAGCAAAGGAAAACCAGGCATTTGAAAAGGTCCCAGGAAGGGAAAATAATGAAGCAGAGTGGCCTCGATGAATTGCTATAGAGGGAATTCTCAGTTTTGACACAAAAGGAACACATGGATACCAAGGCAAACCTAGGGGGAGAATCTCAGTAGGACGCCTGTCTCGTAGGCTGGTCAGCAGAGAGTCGAAGCCAATAGCCCTCCAGATATGAGCAGAAACAAATGTATTTTATGAGTAATAGTTAAGCATTCAAACATGCCATTTTGGAACACAAGGTACTTTGAGGATCTGACATCCCTTCATAATTCATGTTCATTGTTCCTCTAAGTAAAATATGTGTCTCCCTTTAGTTATTCTGTTAGGAATTGTACTTTAAAGGCAACAGGACATTTTTGATAATGCACATCTTAAACTTTTCATTAAACTACCAAATTTAAATTCTACCTTTTTGTGCACTCTGACATTTTTGTCTGGCATTTTCATTAATTTTGCGACATACATAAATGTAGCTGAAATGTTAACTGATCAATACTTTGTCTCTCTCATGTAGCACTAGCGCTCTGTTCCCTAAGGACCACACAGCAGAACAGAAATTAAATGTGTAAAATATCAAATGTTAATGTTAAACACAGCAGCACTTACTGTATAACGACAGAAAAGGCTAAAACAATTCCAAATGGACAGATGGTACCACAAATTATCTACAATCACATTTAAAGATTAAAGTTTGTCCTGTAAAATAATTCTTTGACGCACACGGAAGTGTGTCCTTTTACTGATAGCTCAGTTGTCCAATTATTTTTGTCCTCATTACAGTGAGGAATGACAGTACTGAAAAGAAAGAGAGAATGTACACTTTTTCCCCCTATGTTGTACCCACTGACATCCACAAGAACACAAATGTCTGGTCAAGAGCCTGATGAAAATTAGACCCAATTTATGAGACATTTCCACGTCTACAATAGATGATTCCAGGAGACAAGCAGTGCCTTATGTACTACATACATCTGTGTTCGCTCCCAGGCATACAATATTCATAGTAAAATTTAAAAACCTAATTCATAGCTCACAAAAACAATGATATTCCCAGGAAGGTGTTTGCTTATATTTTATCCATCACCTTCCAGACTGATTTCAGCTTCTAATATCATCAGTCGACCTTGAATCTTCCCCACAGGACACAGGCAGTGCCGAAAAGGCCAGAGCAGCTCTAACCCTGCATTTCCTGCGCTTTCTACTTTAATTGACATTGGGACCAAAAAAAATGATTGTTTCTTTCATTTTTATTTCATTATTCCACAATTATTTTTAGATAGTAAATTAGAAAAGAAAAATCAAATGGAATAGAAAAAAAGGCACTTAAGCATTATAAAGTTTACTGATCTGGGCCTAAAACCAAGGCACATAATGGCACAAATGCATGTGCTCCATGAGGCAGCTGCATTTATGAAAAAGTGGGCCAAGTGGAACCAATATTATAATAATAGACCTGTGATCCATCAACAGGGAATGATGGGAACAATATGTTTGTAACAATGGGGTGCTGCTCATACTCTACTCCTAATGGAAAGCAGTTCTTTTCAATAAACTGCCCTAAAAAGGCTTTGGTTATGCAATGAGATCTTTGATAGATTTCACTTTTAAATACTCACATCATTTAATATCTGCAACACGAATAAAAATTCTACGGGCTTTTTTTCCCCCTGAGTTGTTATGTTCTTATGATTACAAGGTACATAAATTAAATGCTCTTTTGGAAAGGGAATGATATCTGCTGGCTTTGGGCATGGCACTTAATTTTTCTATGCCTCAGTTTCTTCCTCTGTATATTGGGAAAATAACAGTATCTCATAACATTATTGAGAATATCAAATTTGTTAATACATGAAAAGCACTTTCATGCACTATTGCCTGAAAAAAATTTTTCCAGCATGCAAATGTCTAATAAATACTAGTTATATTATTATATATGAATCTTTTATGATGGAATTTAATCTGAGGTTGAAATTGATGATTGGTAGAGGATATGAAATAGTTTAGAATTTAAAAGAAGGTCTAGAGAAGATTGCTACGTTAGCATTAAGCTCTGCCTGTCATCATTTAATAACTAGCTTTTTTAGAGCAAACCCTTATTCAACTAGCACCATTGATAAAAGGGTTTCTCCACATGAGAAAATTTTTGGATTGATTGTTTTCATTAGTTGGTGGATTGATTTAGACAGCTTTTATACTGGGAGCCTAGCAAGTGTTAGAGCCCCCGCAGGTGATACTGGGGGACCAGGGTGAAAAGGGCAGTGCTCCCATTCTCATGGAAGTCCCAATTCAGTTCCCAATAAATGAAGTTTGGTTTTGTTATTCATTGTTTTAATTGCTTTCAATAGAATGTAATTCAGTGCTTCTTTTTTCTTTCAATGAAACAGTAAATATTGTTTCTTCTAATATGCATTCACATTGAGGCTTGTGGCTTCTTTTTTTTTTCCCACTGCCTGTGCCAACAGTTCCTTCTCCTACCTTATTTGTGTCCTACCTCCTTTTTTCAGCTTGTATTTCATGGGACCAAACTTGTAGAAAGTGACCACTAAGAGAGGTGTTATTACATGTCTTGCCCTGTGAACTTCAACTCCTTTAACAGTGAAATCACTCAAGTGCTATCATGGATATGTAAGTTTCTCAGAATTTCAGTCTTTTTTTTATCTGAAGGAAATTGTTGTAAAGTCTGCCATCTTGAATTCATTTTATATGAGTGATCTCTAGCAGCCAGATGAAGCTTATTGAAGACTTACTACACAATGCAATACTAAAATGTTTGAAATGAATGTTCCCAAACAAATGATATAATTACATAGAGTCCTCTGTTTTCAAATTTTGCAAACAGCTGTGAGGAATGACTTTGGAAGGAGTGTATTAAATATGGCAGCACGACCTTTTTGGTAGAATATTATGTCTGTGGTATAAGGCTCCCTGGAACCTGGAAGTAATGGCATCGAATATACATAGAAGCTTAGTATCATTTTCCCCTCATGAATGTCAAAGTGCCTCTAGGCTAATAAAAAAATCATAATAAAGTTTGTTTAACAGTACCCGGATATATTTATTATGTGAAAGAGCCAAATAAAAAAATGTTGAGAGAGGCAGATTTTCTTTTCTTAAACTTAATGATGATGACAATTGCTTTCTTTAAGGAGACAACAACATGTCCATGGGAAGCAGGCTGCCTAACTTTCTGGTAACTTACAACACAAAAGGATATACACACTCTTTGTTCCATGTGCTCAGACATTAATGAAAGTCCCATACAAGGCCTGAGAGGAGGACAGAGCTCAAAGTACTAAGCAGATGTGCATACATTTGTTTGAATGGTAATACTAAAATGTTGATTTGTTACTATAATTCAGACTCTTCTAAGTCCCCATAATAGTCATATTCTGCTAAACTGGCAACTATAAGGAAGCATAAGGTACTCATAAAATAATAAATATGACAATAGAGAATTCAAAGAAGAACTCCACTTAAACATCAAACTGAAATCCTGAATAAGCAAAAATAATGTGAGAACAGAAAATCCCAGCTAAAGCTCAGAGGAAAGTAGCCTTTCGAATTTTCTAGTTGTGCAAGTTGGTCTCATCAGCAGTTTTTAAATAGCCAAAGTAAAGGACTACAAAATGAACATTGTTAGAGAACTATTTGGATCATCAAATTCTCACTTGCACCTTTAAAAAAACCTGGAAATCTCAGAAATAATAAAGTATCTCTTAAACAGGTCACATTCACTCCAATGGATTCACATATTAAAATATTACTGACTAACATCCTACCAATGATTCTCCTATTTTGAAAATTATATCTATAAGATGAATAAAATTGAATTGAGGATGGTCAAGATTATTAATTTTCTTAACACTAAGGACTTTTCTTGGCTCTGCTATTGGGATTTGGAATTATGCAATATGTAGAATTTTACTTTGTAACTGTCACAGAGAAAATTATACATTGGCTGAGATGTCTTGCATTCCGGAAATCTGAGGGGGGAAATATATTCTTGGACTCAGACCTTGAGCAATCCATCAGGTTCCTGCCCACGGCAAATCTGTCCAGTTAAGTCTTAAAATAGGAGTTTTTAAATGGCCACATCAACATAACTGTTACTATAGCCACAGAAACATGCAGCTATGATTACTGAATTTAATGAATAACAATGTAAGTAATACAGTATGATCATACCACAAAAGCAGCGAGGCTCCTTGGGGGTGAATCCCAATCAAAGCAACTATTAACGTAGTATGCAGCATTTACCAGCACCATGACGCAACGTTTCGTTCTGATAAAGTTTCTTAGGAGCAGCTGTAAGGAAGATGAAAATGTTATTAGACTTTGCAAGATTAAAAAACAGTAGATAGTCTACAAAATTCTCCAAGCTTTTTGTGATGTAAAAGGATTCCAAAAGTTAACAAAGTTGTAAGAATATACCAAGCAGTTTGGATCATAAGTTAAAGGAAAAGAAGTATCTCTGGAGAGGGTGAAAAGAACTGAAATATGAGAAATTTCTTAGCCAGCAATATTTTCTTAAATAATATTATCATGTAAGTTGGGCCTCATTTCTTTAAAAGTCAAAATCGCCAACAGATTAAAAACATTTTTTTGGTACTTATACACTGTTTACCTTAAATATATAATTTTAACCCTTAAATTTTATTGTGGTATTAAGAGTCTTTAGATGTTCTGACTTCAAGATGTTTTAAAGCAAAGTGAATAACTTGGAATGCTCTTATTTAAGGTCTTAGAGAAAAATCTATCAAATATTGTTTCATTATAGAAATCAATTTTAGCAGGATCTTCCCTTTCTTACTAACATATTCTCATTTCTTCCCTCTCTCTCCCTCTGCCTCTCTTTCCCACAATAAATTCAACCAATAATTTTCTTTTTCATATTTGTGGAGTTAGGAAAAATTTATGGTAACCAAGGGCTTTACAAAATTTTTTATTAAAAAGGAAATTCAGTGTTGATACACTTTTTAAAAATTTAAAAGTGAGGCATTATTACAACTATAAAAGGATAGCCCATACACTTATCTGATAGTTCAAAAATGTACCTACTTCTATGTTAATAGTTAAAATACTATGTCTGCAGGTTAATATTTTGTTACTTCCAAATAAACTTCAATGCTGATCTGGTATTTTAAAAATAATGGCTATGTGAAGTTTACTGAGGTCAAATGGAAAAAAAAATTATATGTGTGTGAGTGTATGTGTGTAAATATAGATGCGTGTACATGCATACCAGTTTTAACAAATTGTTAAAATTGAAATTCCTTTCAGGCAAAGTAAAGAGTCTCCCTATTTGTTTTTCTTCTTGGCCCCCTGATCACCTTCTTTCAGGAGCTACTTTTATTAATTTTATCTGTAATTGTGGAAAAATGTAATCTGTATTTCTACTTACATAGGCATTGTATATAACCCACTCAGAGTCTTTAAACAAACAAAGATTGCACAGTTTATAGTGAATTGATTGGATTAAAAAATATTTGTAGTCTTCTAATAGCACAGAAAATTATTAAATATTTTATCACACACAAATGAGCTCTGTAAACTTTATAGCCATAACAAATACATTTTATTTTAGCTGTGCTAATTGGAAGTAAACATTTTTAAAGGTGTAGCTTAATAATCTTTCTTAACTTGATATCAAACCTAATTTAAAAACTATAAATCTAATTACAAGATATCAAGCCTAATTTACAATTCCTTCATGATGGAAAAAATCAGAGTGCCTGATTTTTTTTTTTAACTAAAAATGCCAATGAAAGTTCACTTCTGAAAGATCATAGTCAAAATCTAATTAACAGGAAGGTTTCCCTTAAAAGATGGAGCCCCCTCTCCTGTGGATTAGAGGGAAGATCTTTATGCTGGGCTCGATTTACACACACCTGCATCATACCTGTGGGTGGTCTGGACATATATTTGAACCTCAGCTTTTGGTGTTCTCATTTACACATTCCATGGCAATCAAATTGTATTTTAGGTTCAAAATGATCATTCTTTTGGTAATGCATGAATACATATCCATTCTATGAAGCACCTACAGTATCCCCTTTCTTTTCTGACCACCCCCATCCAATTTATTAGTTTGGTATTGTCCTTGTTTGATCTTTAAACTAAAGGAAGGGAAAGGAAAAAAAGAAAGAAAAAAAGAAAGAGCCATTTCACATAAGTAGTAGATGATCATAAATTCCAGTCTTCCCCCCTCCATACCTCCAAAGTTTATTTGAATTTACTTAGATGTTTTACAGATATAATCAGGTCTTCCCAGAGGGATTAATCTTTCTTTGCTTTTTACCTGTTTAGAGAGTCTGTTTTCCTCTTCAATGTACTTCTGTTCTTTTGGTATTAATGTTCGTAAGCTGGCTTTCACCTATACATCAACACATGTGTCTGTTATGGATTCATATATAACAAATGTTTACAAGTTTTTCACGCAGTTCAATTTGCAATAATTTCTAAAGTTTCAAAGTTCTAGTTGCTGTGCTCATAAAATATAAATGTATACAGTTGCACATGCATGCTCTTCCATTTCTTATGCCGGCGAGTAGTAGCCGGAGCACAGCAGCAGCGGCAGCCGCCAACTATAACAGAAAGTGTGGGTGTGCCAGGCAGTGGCAGAAGCGTATTCTCCAGGATACATCAAGGTTTAGAGAAAATGAGGAATGACAGAAATTCTCTACAAATCAGGAACAAAAGCTTTCATGAAACTGAACTCTTTAGCAGTACAAAAAAGCCAAAGTTAAGACTTACAGCATTAAAAATCACATCTATTTCAAGATAGATGACCCCCTTTGTTGGCCCTGTCAGCTGCTTGTTTTTCAAGACGTAGGCTTTCTGTTCACCATTTTGAATCTGCGGGAAAAGGACATGACAGCCGTCTGTCTCGCGGTCTCCACTGAATACACTCCCTCAGTGACCTTTGACCCCCAGCTGCTGAAACTGACAGAGAACCCAAAACAACTGTGGCAATTCTGACAAGTACCTGTTCATTACCAGGATCAAGTCTGTCAGGAAAAATTAACTATCATGGGATTCAACATGGCCGTGAATTGAGTATGTTAAAATTTTTAGTGTTCTTATTACAGACCTTGGTTGAGAAATGACAGATATAGAGCTGAGGGTTTTTTTTTTTTTTTTTTTTTCCTTGAGCAAAAGCAACACAGAGCAGTGTGTCAGGTGAATAAAAACTTACAGACAGCAATGGTATAGCAACTTTGCCCAGAAAGTCAGCACTTCGATCCCGATCTTCATCATAAACTGTCACTTCAAGAACTGAATGGATATCTTTAATGTTGCTGCATAATAAAAATACATAAGGAAAAAAGACTTCATCAGTGGGGGGAAAGAACAAAAATGCTTTTGCAAATTTAGATAGCCCAAGCTGATTCTGTGTGTATGTGTTTTTATGTGGCTATTTGCATACATATACACATAAGGCAGCCTGGTATCTGACAGAATTTCCCACAATGCACCTTAGCAAATTACAGTGATGGTTCTATTACCAGGACCTTTGCATATAATTGTAATTTTGTTATAATTTTTAATAAAACGTAGTTTCCCATTTGGATGGGTGCAGAATAAGTTTAAAAAAAACAACAACAAAAAACAACCCACAAACCATCAGTGAGTGGCACTGATTATTTTCAGTCTTTGCCTTCTTCTTATTATCACAATGATTCCTATCTTTTTATTAACCCTCACATAGAACACTACAAAGTTTGCCATCAGCAAGAGTAACAGTATATTTCATATAGTTTTTCTCTTTTTTATAATCATAGTACATCTATTTTTTTGTTTACAACCCTCACCAAAACATTTACTTATTACTGTTAGGTTTATAGCAAAAATTAATCAACACAGAAAACAGAATGGACAAAATGTAACACTGATAGCTATTGTACCACCCTGGGATTTAGAAATTAAGTAATGTTCCATTATGTTCCAAAGACAACATATGTTAATAAATAACCGTGCGAGCTCTACATAATTTTGTTTCTGGAAAATAAGCCCCAATTGTTGACAGCATTTATTCTTTGATCAAACTGTCCACCAAGAAAACATGAATTAAGAGAAAACAAAAAAATGAATATATTCATTACAGAAAGACCACAACCACATGTGAGAAGAGGCTTTATCAGGGCACAATCAATTAATGGCTTTGATAATAATCAAACCTATTCATTCAATTACGCATTCCAGAGACAAACACTCTCCACAATCTTCTTAGGAGTGTAGGTCCCCTGACCAGGCTTTCATCTCTTATAAAAATGTGGAATTCCTTAAAGATAAATTGGTCAGATAATTAAAGCTGATTAGTTACTGGCTCTTAAGCAGAGACATTATAAGAAATTAATGAGGAATTTAGTAGTTTTTCATATACAAAAAAATAAAGCTATGTTAGAAAACTTTTAAGAAGTACTTCTGTTTGGAGAGTTTTCCTTTGTTCAGAGTTCATTTCTAAAGTCCAGTTTGAAAAAAAAAAAGCTAGCTTAGGAGATACCACAGTGTAGCTTTGGCAGCTTTTACAATGCATGATAAAAAAGATTCACAAACTTTTTAAAACAAAAGGAAAATTAACCCAAAGGGTGTTTAGGCAACCAGGACAATACTTAATATTCTTATTGTGCGAAAATGCAACAAACCAAAAATAAAGCATCTGCCAAATTTGAGACCGAATTGTTTGCTGATTTGAGCAATGGAACAAATAGAGCTTTGTCCTCCTTGGTGTCAGTGCAATTGGGGAGAATTTCAATAGAAAGTATAAAAGGAAGAAGCAGGATGGCAATTCAGTTAATGGGAGCAAAATTCTTAGTCAAATCATATAAAAAGCAAGGTTTAAAGAAATAACTATGAAAACAAAAATGGCATATACCCTCCCCAGATTTCACTATCAGGAAGGTAATGTGATTCTGAAATTCATTTACTAGTAGTCAGTCCAGAAAGATTGAGTTGTTAATTGGTTAAAAATAAACACACACAAAATCTCAAAAATAAATATCATTTAGGTCACTTTTGAAATGAGCTTAAAGTAATGACTACTTACAATGTGAAGACTTTGTTCCACTCAGGATTGAGATTTTTGTAGACAGTATGTGTCAGTAGCCTATCATTGTTCAGTTCAACTACACAAAATGGGTCACTTTTACCTAGAAGAGATTTGAAGGGAACATTTTAAATATAAATAGCAACCACAGTCTCAGTGTCAAGATCATGACCATATGTCTTTTCTAAAAAGTTTTATTGAAAACAAAAAGTAAGTACAATTTTAAAAATTAAAACCAAATTTAAGTGAGTTAGATATTATCTGGATGATATTAACAAGTGTGATTCATAGCAATTGAGAACCTGAGAAAAGTAAAAGAGCACATTATATAACTTGTATTTCAATTTGCAGTGATTTTTTTGCAATAATAATAGTATAACTGCTAATTATGAGCGGTGCATGTCCATCCCTAAATCAGTTTTTATTCAGTTCTATAATGACCATTTAAAAGGTTCACCCACCCTCTTGACTTTTAAGCACATATTTTCCAACTCATCTATCTCACTAGTAACTTGTAATAGACAATTCTACACTGCCTTATTGCAGAACTACAACATTTTAATCTGATTTAATAATCTCTTCTGAAATATCTAAAGTATCACAAGATGGTAAATTAAACCCTCTGAGGCAGAAAAAAATCCTGCTATTTGAAACTTAACCTCAACAACCAATCTGCCTGTTAAACAGCAGTATTTTTTTCTGTCCATGGAGAGTAAAGGATTTAGAAGTTATCTGTTTACAGCAATCCTGCTCCGCTACAGTTAAATTTTGTCCATTTGGCAATTATATTTTGTGATGTCCTCAATGTTTTTGTAATGTCATGTCCTGTATTATAAGAACCTATAAAGTCAGAGGCTCTGTGGGGGCAGCATTAATGATATTAGCGCAGCATGTAATTTGTTTGATACCTTATACAAATGACAATGAAATCAATATTTAGACAAAGCTGTCCAGAGGTCATATTTTTTAAACTATAATATTGATTTAGACTACATAAGAGGTTAATGTGCATATTATTAACTTTAATGATAAAGAATAATTGTTTTAAATGCATTGTGAATTGTAGTCACCACAGTTTACACTTCTGTGAAAGCTTAAATATCATTGAAGATTTTCAATTAAATTTTAATAGGAAGGAATTCATTAGCTATCAGTGACAGATAAGCTATGTATTCCCACACAGCAGTGTATTTACTTTCCATATTGTAATTCTTAAAATGAGCTGTACAAACTTTGACTCACCTTTAATTTCATTTATTAATTTTAAATTAAAAAAAGATTTAATATATGTGTGTTATTTCAGTGGCTTCAGATACCCCAGGATTATTGCATAATTTAATGTTGTGATAGTTCTCTCAATTTGGGATCTTGGGAATAATTTTCAGCAAAGAATAGAGAACAGAACGTCTTTGAGGTCTGATGAAAATTTTACTTGTGGCTTAGGATCTATATTAACTCTTTTCCCTATCTCTTCATTCCCCTTCTATCTGCTACCACTCCCACTTACAACTCATACATATCATCATTGATAGTATCCGAAAAAAATTTTGTTCATTAAAACACATAATTGATTTTATTTATTACATCAACAACTTAATTTTCCTCTGCAGAATTCAGTTACAAGCATAAAAGGTAGATTCAAACTATTTTCAAAACTTTATATATTTTTAGGGATCACATTAAGTATCTTCTTTGTAACTTTGTGTTGGGTGGTATAAATGAAAGAACAGAGGTCAGAAATTATTTTCTCAGATAGTTTATAAAAAGAGTTGGAGAGATAGCACATATCTACCTGTAACAACTAGAGAGAAAATTCAAGCCATATTTATGACAGAATTCCACGTCAAAAAGAAACTTAGATGAAATGATTAGCTTTGGAAACACTTACTTAAAAGTCAGGTGCAATTTTCACATTTTTTCTGGGATCTCCTTTTATCTCATATACATGTACATTCATGTGATACTTAATTCAGCAATATATATATATATATATATATAGACATTTTAGGCATTTATATTCCCTTATTTTCACTTGTGTTACTTTGATTGCTATTCTATTTTAATCAATTTGGCTTTACTTGTCCTCAAGTGATCATCAATATCTAATAGGTTCAGTCAACACAGCAGTGCTTCTCCAATAGTAAAACACAAGAAGAAACTCCTGCAACCAACATCTATGTAGGAAAAGGTACTTTAATTTCTACAAGCAGATGATGGAAATCTTTACTTAATTTTTTCACAGTTATTATATTCAATTACATAAGAGGTTTCTGATACTTTTAATCAACTTATGGGAAGTCTCAAATCACCATTGTCATTATATCTTTATTTGCTGACAAAAAAAGATCTGGAGTTGGTGGCTGAAAGATTTTAAAGAAACAAAGTGGGTTCTTAAAGCTTGCCATTTTCCATATCTTATTAAGAAACTAAGCTTACTATTAGTTATGTGTATAAAGCAGTGAGTTACCCATATTTTCTTACCATTTAGTTGATTTCTTTAGACCATTTCTAATAAACATCAAATCAGTCATCTATCACCCATTATTTATTTTCTCAGTCACTCTTCTTTTGCAAAAAGATATTAAAGTGCTAGAGATATTTCTACACAAAACAGTTTGAGCACTTCTGAAGCCACTTCTCAGTTATTCTGCCTCTCTGAATTCCAGTGGCACACCATCACTGGTAAAAATATTCTCCTGTCTGCATGTATCTTACAACTTTAGATGGGTAAGCTATTTAACTATTTAAGAGACAATGTTTAGACACCATGTGCAATGTAACAGTACTTACATTAAAAAATAGAGACTTTTGCCTATGATAGAACAAACTATTGTTTAACTGGTTGTAAATTGAATATTTTCCCAATCTGAAATTTATTATCCTTAATATCTTTATAGTCATATTAAATACTGAACTATGATCATTGACACAAATAAATACAGAGAAATTCTGTCATTTTAGATTTCTGTGAAACCTTATTGCCAAGTTTAACACCTTTGATGTCTTCCCAGACCCTATAGGTTAAAAATCTACACCATACTGTATGGAATGTAGTAGTGCAGCCTTATCTCCAATCATAAGTCTGTTAAGCCCCTTACTTGAACTATACCACATCTTTTGAATCTTCAAATACTCCATGCACTTCCAGGGCTCTGGGCAAGACATTCAAGTTCAAAGTGAAGGATCTAAACTTGGGAGGTTGAGCAAGTAGGATTTGAATACTCACTCCATGATGCTGGGTCTCTTTCCTTATACATAAAACAGAGGAAGTAATGGCTCCTTTGCAGACAGGTGATAGTAATAGTGGCTTGTAGATAGGTGATAGTTACAATTTAAGTAGAGAATGTCTGGTAGCAGGGCATCATAATAAATACTAGCTTTAAGGGAGGTCTGTTTAAACCAAAATATTTAAGATATCAAAATGTGTTTTAAAGTGTAAAAGTAACAGGAAACAACTCACATTGTGAGCTAATTCTCCTGGTCAAAAGAATAAATATTTGTAAACAACTTTCTAAAAAGTGAACAAAAAGGGACAATTATTATAGTAATCATGCACATTGTGTTTTTATTGTAAGTCCTACATTATGTTTTATGTTCATGTGCTCACAATTTTTTTGACTATGTGGAAGGTAATTTTATTATCGCCATTTTACACATGAGGAAATTGAGGTTGGGACTTTATACAATCCACCAGGTCACATACCCTGTAAGTAGTGAAACTATTGCTCAAACCTAGATCTAGCTGACCTTTAGGGTTTATGCTCGCCTCTTAAGGGCTCTGCTTCCTCTAATTAAATAATTCTTAAATGTAAACCATGAGTAAAGACTTTCCTCAGTAACTTAGTAGCTACACATGGAATGAATAGGTAATGTTTTCACTATAGATTCATTCATTCAAAAAATATTTCTTGCTTAGCATGTAGCAGGTATGTTCTATGTGTTGAGGAGACAGACATGCATAATACACTTTTTAAAAATCCCTTTATTATAATTACTCTTTTTTCTGGTCCCTTATTTAGGTTTTCTAAAGTCCTGCTATGAGTGAGACCATCTGGTATTTTTTTTCTTTCTGGCTTATTTTGCTATGCATGATCCCTTCCAGCTCCATCCATGTTGCCGCAAATTGCATGAGTTTATCTTTTTTGATTGCTGAGTAATATTCTATTATGTATATGTACCACATCTTCTTGATCCAGTCATCTATTTTTGAGCATTTGGGTTGTTTGCATAGGTTACCTATTGTAAACAGTGCTGCTATAAACATAGGGGTGCAGGTGCCCTTTTGAATTAACGTTTCTGTGTCCTTTGGGTAAATACCTAGGAGTGGAATTGCTGGATCATATGGAAGCTCCATCTTTAGCAGGTTGTGGAATCTCCACACAGCTCTCCATAGTGGTTGGACCAGTTTGTACTCCCACCAGCGGTGCAGGAAGTAAAAATCAAAATCAACAAGCAACAATAAACCAGAGACACACTATACGGGCGGGGGAGGAGGGAGTAGGATCAAAATAAGGGGGAGGTGGGAATTGTATGGGGACTATAACCAAGATGAAAATGCATCCATTGTGCAAAAATGAAAAATGATGTAAAAAAAATTTTAAAAATAAAAATAAATAAACAAATGACATTGATAAATAAATAAATAATCCCTGACCTTTTGGGGTTTACACTGAGAGAAAAAAAAAAACAGACAATGAATAAAAATTATTTTAAATTGTTTTAAATGTGATCAATAGTATGTTGAAAAATAAAGATGGGAAGGGCAATGAGGAATGCTAACATATATGTAGAGTTATGTTGAAAGTTGCCAGAGACCTGCTGCTAATGTGATATCTGGGCAAAGTCATGAAAGAAGCAAGGATGTGAACTTTGGGTTACCTGGAGGAACAGGCCTTGGCAAGACCAGAGAAATAGCTGTGCCAGGATGTTTCTAATAATACCCAGGAAGCCAGTGTGACTGAAGGAATGGATTGAGACTGAGTGGTGGCTGTCAGATGACAAAGAGAGGCACAGGGAGAGTGACATGATTGGATGGCTGCTATTTGGAGAGTAAGGCAGGGAGAAGGCAATGGAGGTGGTAGGGAGATGTGTTAGAGGCGATTG